GTACCTCTGGTGCAAATTACTGACCTCTGTCATCATTTTAGGTGGGGGAACTTGCACAATCGGTGGCTGACTAAATACTTTTTTGCCCCACTGTATTTAAATCCTTCCGTATTATTTAGGTTTGCTCACTTACAAAGAAATTAACTTTTTCATACTAGTTTAATTTTAATGGAGAGAGATAGAATATCAACCAAAAATGTAGAAAACACATTACACAGATGTTATAAGTGGATTTGCGCGTTACTGTGTTACTGTTATTTGATCAACAAGCAAAATATGACTTTATAATGTCTCGATTCAGTTTCATCTCATCACAACACAACACTCTCTCAAGGCTTCATTGAATCCTTTAAACACTCACTGGCAAACTTGCTGGGTGCTGGGCAGCTCTCGGGTACCTAACTCGGCTTATGCTGAGTTGGCCAGCCTCTGTCAGAGTGGTCTGCCCACCATTGCTTCTGGTTCTCTTGCTCTTTGGACATGAGGGCCCCATGTGGGTTGTCCCTTCTTCTCCTGCTGGGATGTGCACGCAGTTGTCATCGAGATGTGTGGCCTCGGGTCTTCAGTACTATGGGGGCTGCACCCTGGTCACCTGGGTCTCTGTCTGCCTCTGTATTCTGGGAGGTGTGGATGCAGCTTCTCACCCTCATTACCAAGTATATTTGTTGACAGACACACACATTCAGAACACAACAAGATTGTTTGTTTGTGCATCTATGTTTTTTTTTTCTTTTATTTCCTTTCAGGCGCTGTTTGTTTTCTGTATGTGTTTTTTCTTACAGGTGCAGCAGTTGGAGACATACTGAGTTTTTCAACTTGTGCTCTGTCCTTTTATTGTCAGTGTTTCACAGAGATTTCCTTCCCACTGTCGCTCAAAGGGAGTTATAATTGTTGGGTTTTCTCTCTGTATTATTGTAGGGTCTTTATCGTACAATATACGATATTGATATTGATGCGACTGTTGCTGTGGTTTGGGACTACCTCAATAAATTTGAATTGAATGTAATCTGGGTGCCACATGGGCACAGTGTCAATCCCATGGGAGCATGAGTTCTTGCTGAGTTGTAGGGGACTAAATACGTTTTTGGTTTTTTTAATGTATAGTTTATATTCTGTCTCTCTGCAAGAAAATGAAAATACCATAACAATTACAGACTGTTCATTTTATTGGCAAGTGAGCAAACTTATAAAGTCCCCCTGCAGTGGACTAGGCCAACCCTGTCTTATCTCAGGCTAGACTATTTTCTCTTATAAAAGTGGTTTCTCTCCTACATTGACTTTAACTGTTTTTCCTCTTTAAAATAAAATTTTGATGAGAAATACTGGGTATTTATGTAATTGATCTTGTCAACCTTTAGATGAATAAAATATTTCTTATCCTTACTGTACTTACAAATAGGGAAACAAGAAATTGAAGTTGTGGGACTGGAAAGTATTTGCCTGACCAAACATATTGTACTTAATGATTGCAGCAAAAGGAATGTCAGTTAAATTAAAGATAAATAATAAGAACAGTAATAATAACAACAACAAGGATAGAGAAAATGAGACTGTGTATATGGCCTTTGATGCCAGATAAGAATAAAGGCCAGAGAAGCTGATTAAATTCTGTCTCGACTACCAACATATTTGCAGCTTAAATCTTTCTCGGTATAGTGAAAGCTGTAGACCTCCATCCAAACAACACCTCGGAGATTTCCTCTAGACTGCTCCCTTAAATGAGGTTAAAATACGCATAGTCTGCTTTTTTTTTTTTTTTTTTTTTTTTGGTAAATTAATGATGGCGCTTTGTCGTCCCTTCGCTCACAGCTCGGCTCCGTTCAAGCGTTTAGATTCAGTTAAGAGTCGCATTCCAGCTTACCTTCGACAGCCCACACCGACGGCAGCATCCATAGAAAGTACAAGATATCCATAATCACAGATATTCCAGACTTATGCCTGTTAAAAGCCAGTGTATTCATCGCGCAGCCGTACAGCTGTGGTCGGTTTCCTGTGAAATCATTTAGAGATGGAGAGAAGCATCCTTATCATCATCAGTGGCACCAAGATAAAGGCTGAAGCGCTGCTGTTCAGGCCAGGTTGGGCGAAACCAAAAAAGAGGGGGCAGAAAAGCAGCGGAAAAACACAGAACATCGGCTGCGCCTGACTGGACACAAGGGTTTGGGTTTTTTGTTTCTTTTTTAAAACAAGGCCACCAGGGTTAATTGTGAATAGGCATTAATATGCATTTCCGTCGGAGGAAAGTGCTTTTACTCAAATTTATTATTACACTTGCCTGTTTTAATTTTTAACCTAAATTATTAAATGTTATATTTGCCAGTGAAGACGCTTTGAAAGACCTTTCTTTACCATTCAGTGTCAGCACAATCTTTGTACCTAAGCAAATTTTTTATTACGTCACTTAACACTAACCTACACATAACTCAAGGAATGAAGCCAGTGTTTTTAGCATAGTAGCAATTACCAACCCCATCCCAAAAAGTAGCAACACTGCACTCCTGCGCTAATTTGCAGATCTGATATTTTATTCACTACAGAACACCAAAAAAGTTTTAAACTGAGGAAATGAATATAGCATCCAATCTGATTTTCAGCCTTGTTTCATTGTAGATATTTAGAATTCTTTTTTAATGATATTGTGTATTGCAGATTGATTGATTGATTGATAATATTTTATTCATCCCGAGATGATGAGAAACTCAGTCTTTGTACAATTGTACACTGAGGAATGTTATTCAGAAATGATTTCACAGCAACTTTAACCAGCAAATAAAATTGGCGATCATGTTATTGTAGGTTATTGTTGTGGGCCCACTTATTAATTGTCATTGTCAGACCTAGCTCTACTCCAGTACTGTTTTTTTCTTTCTAGTTTGCGGTTTGTCATTTCTCTTTAACCTTCTTTTCTTTCCTTTCTTGGCCCTAACCCCCAAGATGGCTGTTTGTCCCTGAGCCTGTGTCTACCTGGAGGTTTCTTAATGTTAAAATGAGTTCCTCCTTCCTAGGACTGTTAAGTCATTGTTAGCTTGTTGCATCCTAAAATAACTGTCACCAGTTCACAACTGTGATGTGAACTGGTGATATAAAACCTGAACTGAAATGAATTGGATTCAAAGACAAGAGGCTGTTGTGCCAACTTTTTAACCCTCTCAAGGCAGGCGTTGCAGATTTGCAACAGTTAAAAGCTAACAACCTGATTACCCCACATACATATTTTATGAGTTTTTTTTACTCAGAAGTACCACTGCAGGTATTCTTTTGTGCATTAGCAACAAAAACTTAATTTGAGCCTGAGAGAGTTAATGCTTTTGATGCTTATGCTTTATTAGATTTATAAATCCATTAAATGTTATGGATGCAATCTTTGGCCTTTCTACATAGCACTGGAAAATAACGTTTAAAAATTTTGTCTTTTCACCCTACATGTGATATATTTCAGACGTGTTATTTGGACTGGATGAGTATAAATAAAATAAATTAAAGTAAAAAACACAACTAACCTGTGATATGAGGACATGTTTTATTTGGTCCTTTTGTCATTGAGAACTCAATAATACCTTTGTTGCAAGCTGCACTGCTATCATGTCCATAGAGATTCTACAGCCGACCTGTCTGAGACATTCCCTAAGATAAGACTGCAGTGGATGAAAGAGACTAAGGGAGAGGGAAAAACAGAGAGTGAGAAAGGGATAGCGCTGCCAGTAAAGCAAGAGAGAAAAAGAGATAGAGCTCAGTGAGGAAATAGAGCAGAAGAATATGGGCATGACAAAAAGGAATCCAGCCTGCCTCCAGATGAGTGAGAGCTGCAAAACAACAGATTAGAGAAGCCTACGGCTTGTTCCTATGGAAACCTATGCCCAGGGAGACAGCAATGGAAATGCAGCAGATTGTAGGTCAGACACACCATCAGCGAGCCAATCAGAAATAATCTATCTTGACTTATGGGTCAGTAAAGCTGGTGCCTTTCTTTGGCTGCTCTCACTGTTGGGGTCCCAGCGAGCAGAGCAGAGCAGTGCAGAAAGTGGTGGATCATTTTTAAAAACAACGCGACAAAAACTAAAACCTCTATGGCTCATGAGGTAGGGTGGCATTATAGGAAGCCCATTCCTGAAAGACTTTCAAATAATAAGAAATAACAGAGTGGAATAATTTGCAAAAAATTTATTTCAATTTAGTTGAATTACCAAAAGCCAATTCACAACAGCAGCTGTTTCAAGGTGTTTTTACTGTAAGGTACACTCCAAAAGTCACAAGATCCCCTGCAAGCAAGTACAGGGTGCTGGCTGGAAGGAAGATCTCCCTTGATCCAGAACCAGGCTAGGGGAGGGGTCACCATCTAGTAGATGGTGACCCCTCCCCTAGCCTGGTTCTGGATCTACTATTACCAGTTACAACCAGAAAATATCAGTTTTATCTTAAGGGTGGCTTATTGGATACCCTTAAAGATAAGGCGAGGCATCTCGAATGACTGAAGGGACTGTGCACCTCCTTTGTGAGAAGGAAGGAGGAAGGAGGCCTTAGGACAGACACAGAACAAGTTGGAGAGATTATAAAATCAAGTCTGCATTGTAGGTCACAAAAGGATCATTTCTAGCGTTCACTGATGCTGTCTCTGTGCGATGATGAACTTTAAAATGAATACAAACATTTTTTGGAACTTCATGGCAGCAACACCTCTCAAGAAAGTTTGGACAGAAGAAACAAAAGGCTGGAAAAGTACATGGTACTAAAAAGAAACAGCTGGAGAATCTTAGGGACAAATTAGATTCATTGACAACAGTAAAAGAAGAGCATCTCGGAAAGGTTTAGCTTCTATGTGTATATTTACATTTTACACAGTGTTCCCACTTTGCACAGGTTAGGCCTGCCTATCTAGCCATATATCTATTAAAGACATATGTCTGTCTGTAAATAGCATTTATTTAAAGTCCACAGCGCCTTCTAGTGGCTTGGAGAGGCACCATTCTGATTCATTTCGTTTACATTTGAATTATTTGTTGCTGTAGTCACTGATTTGTGTTTTATTTAAAATGCAAAAATGATACAAATTCTTCAACATTGTTCTGACTACTTAATTTACTCAAATTGTTGCTGCTGAAAATAGCTCTCTTGCAGAATCAACAGGAAGTGTTCAGAGGGTGAGGGTTCAAGAGGTTTCGATTCCACAGCCTTCCTTACGTTTAGTGGTGTAACCCTGTAGATTATGACGTCATGGTAAAGTAGGAATAGATTCCACTCTCTTACTGGAGCTCGGGATAACAGTCAGGATTAAGTGCATGTAGTAGATGGCCAGTAACTGCTCATGAGCAACAGAGGATCAAGTGGCCTTGCTGACTTTTCTTCTGTGTACCTTAAGGAAAATAATTGGTGGATTTTTCTAGTCTGATGATGAAGAATATCATAGAGATAATGAGGGGCTTCTGAGGAAGGCGTCTTTTCACTTCATTGGTAAGCTAATCAATTTCTAATGCAACTCATGTTCAGGGACATTTTTATATGACAACACAAAAAAGACATGAGACTAAATTTTCAAATGGCATTAAACATACTAGCATGCATTTGAGCTATGAGTTTTATGTTGGATTCAATATCTGATAAAAAAGAAAATCACTAAAACATTTGTACAACTTTTTTATAGGCTTTGCCTGCTGTCTGTAAGAACCATTAAAGAAGATGAAGGTGAAATGGACCATGTTTGGCATGATTGTCTTCTTTCTGCTCTCTGTAGTCATGACCTGCTGCTTCATATGGCAATATAGAAAGCCAAAACTGAAGACAGGTAAAGAGCTGCTAGCCATCATTGGCTTACACTCACATGAGATGTACAGTGTTTTTTAACCTGTGAGCTGGGCCTTCTTATCCTCTTGGTGTAAGTACTTATATGTAGGAGCTGTAGCAGGATTACACAAAGCTGGAAATAGCAGTAGGATCAGCAAGGAGCTAAAGCAGACTTTAACTCAGGCGGAGAGATAGCAGTGTAGTGTCTGATGGTGTAAAACACACTGGGACTGAAGTAATATAAGAAACAATCCAGGTTTATAACTTTGTGGCCCTAGGAGAATTAAAGCATTACATAATAATGAACAATGGGATTGTTTTGGGGCTCATGTGTACACGCTGAATTTAATAACCGTTTTTTATTACATACGTGTTAGAGTGTGTCCCTTCAGTACATTAGAAACTGCATAACACTCCTGTTATTAAAACAACATTTATTATTAATGTATTTCCATTACTGTATTATTACATGTTCATATTTAGTAACAGAATCAGAATCAATCAGAATCAGAATACTTTATTGATCCCTGGGGGAAATTATTTTTTGTTACAGTGCTCCATTATAAACCAACATTAAGACAAGACAGACAATACGCTAACTAAGAATAGTACAATATATACATATATATATATACATAAGTCACTCATAAATAAATAGCTGGAAAAGAAACGTGTAGTTGCAGCAGTAACCAGTGTGTTAAGTGGATGCGTTGTACAGGGAGATGACCACAGGCAGGAAAGATTTCCTGTGTCGTTCAGTGGTGCTTTTCGGTAATCTCAGTCTCTCACTGAACGTGCTCCTGTGACTGACCAGCATGTCATGGAGTGGGTGGGAGGTGTTATCCGACATTGTCTTTATCTTGGACAGCATCCGCCTCTCCGACACCACCTTGAGGGAGTCCAGCTCCATCCCCACAACATTACTGGCCTTACGGATTAGTTTATTAAGTCTTTTGGCATCTGCGACCCTCAGCCTGCTCCCCCAGCATGCAACAGCATAGAGGATCGCACTGGCCACAACAGACTCATAGAAAATCCTGAGCATTTTCTGTATGTTGAAGGACCTCAGTCGCCTCAAAAAATAGAGACGACTCTGGCCCTTCCTGTAAAGTGCTGTGGTGTTTTTAACCCAGTCCAGTTTATTGTCAATGTGTACTCCAAGGTATTTATAGTCCTCCACAATGTCAACACTGACCCCCTGGATTGAAACAGGGGTCAAGTGTTTCCTGGTCTTCCTGAAGTCCACGATCAGTTCCTTGGTCTAGTCAATTAAAAGTGTGTCAACTACCAACCATCCAAACAGACAGACCATGA